TATCTCACTTCTAGTTTGTCCCCTTCTGCACCTCCTGTTTCTTCCTTCTGGCATACCAGAAGTAACTTCACCTTTGTGCTCTTGCAGTTGGATGCAATTACAAAGGGATCTATGGAATCTCCTGCAAAATCCTGCGCAGGTCCATCTTTATTAAAAACTCAGAAGTGAAAGACCTCCTCTACATCCCACAATACTTTCAAGATCAGAGTTCTAGTACGATCAGGAGGAGCTTTAGAGGTCCATCCTCCTGACCACCATACAGGATGGGGAAGATATACCATAGGATTATGGATATCTCAATCATCTAGACCAGGCATAGGCAACCTTCAGCACTCCAGCTGTTTTGGACTACACCTCCCTTGATGTTTTGCCAGCATTATGGGGGATGTAGTCCACAACATCTGGAGTGCCGAAGGTTGCCTATCCCTGATCTAGTCTATAGTGGAGAATCAACAAATGACCATCATCATCATTGTCATCCTTCTACTTCTCAGTCTCTACATCCCAATACAGTGTTGTTTAACCCCTTAAGGACCAAACTTCTGGAATAAAAGGGAATCATGACATGTCACACATGTCATGTGTCCTTAAGGGGTTAATATGGCAGAGACTTGATTCATCAGAACTCCCAGTTCCTACAATTGGCCTTTGTAGAAAAATCCACGCTAATGTAATTTGTCTGCTACATTTCCTGAGGTTCCAGAGTCCTTACATTCTTTTAAGAACTTGTGTTTTCCCTGTTTATTGTGTTATTCAGAGCTATTTATGCATTAGTTGTATTGGGGACAATGACCATGTTTTGTTAATGTTTTCCAGTTGTCTGTCTATCTTTCTGTCTATCTAACTATAAATTCAGCTATTGTGTAAAGTGGCATTGCCGTCTAAGTGTTCCTTGGTTGGAAGCAAAGAGTATTTCATTGATTGGCAGCTTTTTTCCATTGCCGGGCAAAGCTGCCTGCAATAATCTCTAGGGAAAAACAGAGTGACCTTTGGTCGCAAATGCCCATTCTCCCGACCAAGGATCACTTAAATGACAGCACCAAGAATGAGAAGACCAGGGGTGCTCACACATGGTGAGAATTTAAGGTGAATTCAAAGTGAATTTCTGAGAAGAGACAGTGTTTACATTGGTGCCTTGTAACACCTCTAGTGGCTGTCACTCAGACAGGCACTAGAGGGACTTCCTCGGTTGCTGTGTTGGGTCCTACAAACAACTACGTTCAGCATCTACACACTCTGCATGGAGACACTGAACGCTCCCCTTAGAGATGGATTGAATCAATGCCGCTCTCTGAGGAGATGCTGATTGGCACAACATGGTGTTTTGACTTGAATGTGCAATAGCCTTCCAATGTTTCGGCTGAGATCATAAAGATTGATGATGGAGAGAGAGCCAACCAGGGCCGGATTAACATAGGGGCTGATGGAGCTGCAGCTCCAGGCCCAGGCCCATGGAATAGGCCCATTTAAAAAATTTTTTTTTTTTTTTTTTTTTACACACTACTCTTAGGTTTGCCACCTGACTGGTATTTTAATGGCACAGATGGTATTTGAGGCTGCCTGGTCGTGCCAGTATTGCAGTAATACCGGCAATACAAATGCAGGTAATTTAATCAGAATAAATGGAAATTACTCTGCAATACCAGCACCGGCCAGTAGGGGTCACTGTGTGTGGAGAGAGGCAGGCATAGGAAGTTACAGAATATCCCTGCCTCTCTCTACTACTCACTGATCCGTGGGGGAGCAACTACACAGCGCAGACAGTCCAGACAGCAGCTCTACAGCTCAGGTAAGTGAGGGATGGGGGGAAAGGCAGCAGGGACACATGGGGACACTGAGACACTAGGGGACACAGACACTAGGGGACACATGATGACACATACACTAGGGGACACTGAGACACTAGGACACAGACACTGGGAGACCTGGGAACACTGAGACACTTGGGGACACTGGAAAACATGGGGACACTGAGACACTTGGGGACATGGGGACACAGACACTAGGGGACACAGACACTAGGGGACACATGGGAACACAGACACTAGGTGACACTGACACTAGGACACATGGGGACACAGACACTGTGAGACCTGGGGACACTGGAAAACATGGGGACACTGAGACACTAGGGACACATGGGGATGCTGAGACACATGGGGACGCTGTGAGACATAGGGACATTTGGAGACATTGGGACACGGAGACACTATGTTCCCCAGCCAGTGTCCCTAGGATCTCAGTGTCCCCAAGTCTCCCAGTGTCTGTGTCCCATGTCTCTCAGTGTGCCTAGTGTCCCCATGTGTCCCAATGTCCCAATGTCTATGTCCACAACTGTCCCCATGTCTCCCCAAGTGTCTGTCTCCCAGCCAGTGTCCCCTAGTATCCCAGTATCCCCTAATCTCCCAGTATCCCCTAATCTCCCAGTGTCCCCTAGTCTCCCAGTGTCTGTGTCCCTAGTGTCTTAGTGTCCCCAAATGTTTCAGTGTCTCCATGTCTCCCAGTGTCTGTGTTCTTAGTGCCTCAGTGTGCCTGGTGTCCCCATGTCTCCCAGTGTCCCTATATGTCCCAGTGTCCACATGTCTATGTCCACAACTGTCCCCATGTCTCCCAGTGTCCCCAAGTGTCTTAGTGTCCCCAAATGTTTCAGTGTCTCCATGTCTCCCAGTGTCTGTGTTCTTAGTGCCTCAGTGTGCCTGGTGTCCCCATGTCTCCCAGTGTCCCTATATGTCCCAGTGTCCACATGTCTATGTCCACAACTGTCCCCATGTCTCCCAGTATCCCCAAGTGTCTGTCTCCCAGCCAGTGTCCCCTAGTCTCCCAATGTCTGTGTTCCCATGTCTGTGTCCCTAGTGTCTTAGTGTCCCCAAATGTTTCAGTGTCCCCATGTCTCCCAGTGTCTGTGTCCCTAGTGTCTCAGTGTCCCCATTTCTCCCAGTTTCCCTAAATGTCTCAGTGTCCCCATGTCTCCCAGTGTCCCCATGTCTCTGTGTCCCCGGGTCTCTCAGTGTCCCCAGTATCCTAGTGACATGGGGACACACTGAGACATTGGGACACTGGGGGAAATAGGGACACAGACACTCGGAGACTAGGGGACTGGGCGAGATGGGGACACTGACATTGTGATACATAGGGACACTGAGACACTGGGTGACTTGCGAGACTGAGACACTGGGAGCAATCCATCTATACAGCAGAATCAAACTGTGAGTAGTTTGTTGGTGATTTTACAGAATTTTCTCTGATGTCACTCATTGTGATTTACACGAATAACTAATTAATTATGCAAATGATTAAGGCTGGTATTTTTTTCCAAGAAAGGTGGCAACCTTAACTACTCTTCACATACTCTTGCTTAAAGGAGCACTATAGGGTCAGGAACACAATCATGTATTTCTGACCCTATTATGTTAAAACCACCACCCTGGCCCCTTCTTGCCTCCCTAAATATAGTAAAATATTACTTGTATTCAATTCTGCAGCTGCTGGCTCAGAAGTGGTGGTCTGAGCAAATTACAATACTTCCCCATAGGATTGGCTGAGACTGTCAACTAGGCAGATCAGGGGCAGAGCCAGCACAAGTCCAACATAGCCCTGGCCAATCAGCATCTCCTCATAAAGATAAATTGAATCAATGCATCTCTATGAGGAAAGTTCAGTGTCTGCATGCAGAGGGTGGAGACACTGAATGGCAGTGCTGCACACTAGGCAGTACAGCCCCAGGAAGCACCTCTAGCAGCCATCTAAGGAGCGGCCAGTGGAGTTATTTTCTCTGAAAAGACAGTGTTTACTGCAAAAAGCCTGAATGGAATGATTCTACTTACCAGAACAAATACAATAAGCTGTAGTTGTTCTGGTGACTATAGTGTCCCTTTAAGTTTGGAAGCTTAAGAGGGATGTATGGGAATAAAACTTGTGTGCACTGGCTGACATTAAAGTTAGTTTAGGTAATGCAGACATTGGTCTCTCTAACACTGTGGCATGTACCCTTTCTTCTACACTCACTACAGACACCCTTTCTCTGTCTCAGACTATACCACGAACTTCTGCCTGCTAGTAAGAAGGTAAGGAGATAAGTGGACCAGCGAGTGCTAGGGGACAGTCCTTAGAAAGAATGGAGTGAGCGCATCATTAGACGCATTTATGTCAAGCTCAAGGTGCTGACTGCATTGCATGCCCTTAGTTGGACAGCCTGCAGGATTGGCAGGCAGCCTGACATGCATTCATGCCAGGCTGACCTTCCAATTCTTTGGACAAACATGCCCCCTTTTTGGGCATGTTCACCCCTTTTGGCAGGTCTTGTCACGTGATTCGCGCCAGTGGCATACCCTTTTACCCCGTCCATTGACTTCCTGCTTCACTGGACACTGCTGTTAGGGGTTATGACGCTTGGGAGGTATGATTGTTTTAGTGTTTTTGGTCGATAAGATTCCGTAATTAGGCCCATCATAATTGTCAGCACCAGGCCCACTATGCTCTTAATCCGGCCCTGGAGCCAGCCATGGAGTGAACAATGCAACGAGCGAAGAAAGGGAATTTAAAGTACCTTTTTACTTCACACTGGGGGGGTCAGTAACCTAAATAGTTAACAGGTCACTGTAGCATTAGGAATACATGTTTCAAAATATAAATCTCTTAATCAGCTAAGCTTTCCATGCAGCTACTCTGGTGAATTGGAAATTTACTTTCATGAGTAAGCCTGTTGCTTTAAGTGCATCAATCACTAATGGGAAGACTTATGGTTGCTAGAGAGAACAAATGTTCTCAAAGTGTGGCTCTCAAACTGGCAGAGAATTCTGGGAGCTGTAGTCCAAGCAGAGAGGGACTGCAGTTGAAAATAAAGCTTTTATTGTCTGCACCATCACTGATATTAGTCTTCAGTTACAGTGTGACACTATGACATCCGACAGTCCCTAAAACCCAAACACACCTCAAAACATGTTAACTCACAAAAAGCAACACACATTTTTTTTTCATGAACACAAAATTACTTTATTTTCAGCAGGAATCAGTATCTTCACATATTTAACAGCAAGCAGTTAGATCCAGGGATAGTAGTGTGAATATATGTGATTTGTTCTCAGTGTATGTTTTGGTTGTTTTTTTTTTACAGAAATTCGCTATATTGTTCATTCTGACCCATACAAAATAATGAAGGTTCTTTGCGTCATTTCAAATAATAGTATGAAGTTCAGGGTGTCTTGTGATTATATAGCAGTTACGCAATGGCAGCTGTACGACTCTGTCAGAGGAGAATGGAACGAGGACTGGGTTTTCTGGACATATACCACTTATTCATATTAATTCATGTGCTGCAGGGAGAAATCAGATTATTATTAAAGCATCTCCTTTGGGATCCATTCTTATTAACTGATTTCCCCTGCAAGATATGAATTCTCCCCACTCTATTTGAGCAGTTTTGAAGTACTGCCCAACATCATGAATTAATGAGAGACATCCAGGGGAGCATGATGACCTGGCAATCCTACGTGATGGTGAGGGGGGTGCTAGTGGGAGTGAGGGGGAGAGTAATGAGAAACAAGTGAGCTGGGGAATTTTAGGGAAACCAGTTCTTGGGTTTGAGTCAATCGTCCATCCTTCAAATGGAAGCATGACATAGGTGGGTCCCCTAGTTTTTCTTGAGAAGGTGACTTAAAAATATGTGTTAGATACCTAATCCTTGTCTAATTCTGACACATATTGGGAGTTTGCTTATCAGTTCTGGAACTATATACATCGGTGATGTTATTGGATTGCTCTCCAGCCAGAGTCAGAGATCCGATAGTTGGATCTCACCTCTCGTGCTAAGCTGGTATTGAAATGTTTGGATTGGAATGCCCACCATGGTCTGATGGTATGTGTAGCGGTTTTAGAATTAAACAGCCACTGCCCTCTTCCCCTCACTCCCTGCTGGGACTATCCTCTTTTATAGGTCAGACACTTCCCCTGAAAATATGCTGGGTTCCTCTCCTGACCTAACACTGACCTTAAATTGGCGTCGGAGGAATCCTCCGTATCGCTTTTGATTGTCCCACTTTAGTTTTGGGCGAATCCTACGCATGAAACCCCCATAACGTTTCTGAGGGTCTGTGATTCCATGTTCTGTCTCACCTTCCTTTTCCGACTCTAGCCCCTGCTCTGGCCCTTCCTCCAGCACCACCCTCTTCTCTGCACCCAAATCCCTCTCAAGTTCAACACCCTGAACATTTTCTTTACTCCTCTTTGGGTATTTGCGTAGGAAGCCCCCATAACGTTTCTCCCCCCTCGTTTCCCATGCCTGACTTTGCTCGTTGGACTCTTCTTTGCTTTGGGATTCAGTCTCTTGTTCTGGGTCATCACGTTGTTCCACAAGATCTCGTTCTCCAAATTTACGGTAGGGGCCACTATATTTGTTGTTGACCTCACCCTTTAAGTTTCCATTTTCCCTTTGTGGAGAGCTAAAGAAGATTTTGCTTTTGTCTGGCTTCTTCAAGAACCCTCCGTATCGTTTTGCCAGAATTTCATGCTGGTTTTCGGTGATGGGTACAAGCTCCTGCTCTCGTTTGGCTTCTCCAACAAGACTTCCTCGAAGAGCTAAAAAGGTCCCACATCTATCCCATTCTGCGGTGGAAAGCAAAGTTCCCTCACACTGCAAGGAGCAAATCTATGGAAAAATAAATCTACATGAGATTGAGGAACATGTATAAAACATTTAGGCAAAAGCCATTAAAATGGATACTGGAGTCTCCAAAGAATATGTGTGAGATCCTGTAAATACCACCTTAATTGTATACAGCCCTGACAATTATGGACAATTATTAATCCGCAGGTTATTGGCGATCTCTTACAATGCCTTCCTATACTTTAGACCTACTCTGGATGGATGTTATAAATGTTTCTGTAACATATTTTCTTTTTGGTTATGAAATGTTTTAAAACTTTAAAGGGTTACTCCAACCACCATGAACACTTAAGAGATTAGAGTGGTTATCTTGAAACACTGCACATCCAGAGATGCCAGGCAAGTTGTAACTCTGTTCCGGGCTGCCTAATCTCAATTCTGTGCATAAATTATGTCTGTTGTCAGCGAGCACAGCGCGTTGACAACAGACGTTACAATATTCCCCTTGCTGGCACAGCTGGCACCTCCCACCCTCCCTTCCACTCTGTGCTCCCTCTCGCCTCACTCCGTGCAACATTGTTTTTGTTTTTTAAAAACCATCCCTACCTCTTAACTCCCTTCGACACAGTGACGTCGGTGTGGACGCGGAAAAGTAGCGTCAGGAGAGGATTTAAGGTAAGTTAAACCTTTTTTTTGCAGGTTTTACTGAGAATTGAGAGGGGGTACTGTCCCCATAGTGCCTGCTAGAGCATATAATGCCATTAAGGTTCCCCCTCTCAATATGGTTATAGAAACCCTTTAAAATAAATAGTTAGACAAAAAAAGATCCTGTAGTTACTTAGATCTACCTTTGTCAGATATTAATAAATAAATTCTTAACACTCAAAAATTAAATCAATTTCAGATTTAAGCTATGGAATCAGTTTTGACTTGAAAACTAAAATACACTTCAAATTCTCACTTGTAAATAACTCAGTAAGTGTTTATGATCCAAAGGTTCTGTAGTATGGTATTACCTAACTTTAGTGGATATGCGTGCTTAATTGATCGATCTGTCTTAAATCACTAATACTTTTAAATTGAAGGAAGGGACAGGCCCACGTCACCACGCTGAGGGCATCTTCTGGTAACCGTACCTCTCTAACTCTGGCTTTAAACGTCAGGCACAAGATAAGTGGGTACTCGTGACAGAGTACTTGCCTTTCCTGTAGCAGATCCTGATTGGTGAGTTAGGAAAATGGACTTTAAAAGTAATGGAACGTTTGATGGGAGCAGCAGGACAATAGCTGTAAGAATGCAGAGATGCAGAGATTCTGGTGAATAATAGCTGCTCTGACTGTGAGATGGTCGGGTCACTAAATGTAAGACTAGCTGCATGCCACGAGGTGTAAGATGGCAACTGTTACAAATCTGGTGTCAAAAAGCCACTATCTATACTTTGTGCCAAGCAGCTCCTATCTTATACACAGTGTCCAACAGTTCTGCTGCAGATCCTACATCACACCTAAAGTCCTCAAATAGCCCTTGTAAACACAGTATCCCAGCAGATATTTAATGTTTACTCTGTAACCCCACTAATTTCCAATTCACATCCAATGTACCAATGGGTTTCCATGTCTCTTTCACGTTTTATCTCCTGTGTTTTATCCTTTATCCAAATTATAAATCCCTTTAAATCCAACCAGTAAACTGCCGTGTTCTCTCACCCATCCCAATGTGTTTTTTATTTTTATTTTTATATTTTTTTCTGTGTTGTTACTAACCAATGGGTCAAATTTTGTGTTTTGACCCCTGAAGTCAAGGTCACAGGAGAAGCACCAGGACACACAGTCGGCAGAGGTGATACGCGGAGCAGAGAGTGTCAGCAACACCAGCAGTACCAATGCACCCATCCTGTAGTGAAAAAGCGGTAGAGACAGAGAGATTTAATGGTATGTATTACATCTGCTTTACCTGACAATTAAAGGGGAACTGTCACTTCTCCACCACTGTGTAAAACATTGAAAATCATCTATAACGTGTTTAAATCTTTTTCATCCAACACTCAGATTTCTTTTTAATTTATATTAAAGATTTAGCAAAATGACATCACAATCCAGTTCAGTCCCGGCACAGCATGGCACACAATGCAAATGAGGAGGAACAGAAAGTGTTCCATAGTTGTGAATTGTAAGAGTGACGTCACCAGTGGAATGTGCCTGTTGAGTCTATTGGTTTTCATGGTGACTGCAACACTTTTAGAAATTCACACAATTTTTTAGAGCACGAAACTGTGATATATCTCTCCAATTGTGTCGGTTTCTCCTCCTCCCTCAGTGGTCTCTGTATATTGAATGACAGGTGCATGTTTAAATTGACACTTCACTGCCCAAGTACAAAACAAATAAAAATCACTGTTTACTAGATATAACCACAAATGAAGTGAAATGAAGTGAAGTTGTTATGGTGCCTGAAGTGGTGCTTAAAGTAGGAAAACCTGTTTAACATATCTTCTGAAAGGTGTTTAGACCAGAATTACTCTACTCTGTTTTAGTTTTTAGTTTTTGTTTTTTACTCAATACATGCTTTTCTAAGTGCAATTCCCCTTGAATTAACTTGTTTTATAAGACACTCACATACTATGCACTCATATTTACGAAAGCCTTTGAATTGTTGATGCACATTTAGAGAAGTTCCTCATTCATCTTCGAGAGACACATCTGGGTGGCTTAGAGTGTGACAGACCAGCTATATTCATTTCTGGCCAGTAGGTGTCATCGCTAAGCCACCTGTTGTCTCTGCTGTAACTTATTGAATTTTGTATTCGCAAATTCTGAATTATCAAGACTTCAGATTGCCCCACGTTTAGTACTTTCGACCACTTTTTAGAAAAGAAAAATTTACATCTTCCCCATTATGTCTTCGTATGGTGTGATGTTCAAGGATACAGGAGAAGTCATGCATCTTACAATGCATTCAACAGCACACTAATTCAGTGATACCTAACATTAAAGGAACACTTCGAACACCTTATGCAGTTTAGCTCGCTGAAGTTGGAAGTCTGTGATTGGACAGCCACTGAAAGTCTGGGTGGGGTTAGAAGGGGATGGCTTATAAATACTGCAGACATGAGATCTGCAGCTTGTGCAAGCTGTTTTTAGATATACACCCAATACAAACACATAATTAAATGCATAAATGTTTTCATTGAGGGTATAACTACGAAATAGTGTTTTTAAAAATATTCTATTGTATTTGGGCAGCGGAGTGTTCCTTTAAGGATAGCTACTCTTCCAGGCCAAAACTATATTACTTTTATCACTTAGCTTTTTTTTTCTTTGCCTCTAAACATTATCCTCCAGTAATCTGTTACTAATAAACAGCTAATTCACTAGAACTCCTTCAGGATAATTTACTACAGTAAGAATTCCAAGTGAATTTCAAATTTAGGGTCAAAAGAGCTCAACAGGATAAATTCTCTAAGTCAGGTGAATTTTTATTGGTTGAGAGAGCATACTTGAGACTACCCTGTGTGAAACCTGATACAGTAACTGGAATAATCAGAAAATAATTCACATTCATTTGGGGTTTATTCACTAAACACAGACTTTACAGCGAATAAAAATTTCGAGCAAGATAGAGCTGAGTGGGATACAGTTTCTGTATTAATAGATCACTTAATATCTTCTTATAAACTGTTTTAGCCAATTGGGAAGCTGATTTGCACAATTCAAGAAATTACTGGCTCCCGGCAAAAACGTAATATACCTTATTGTGTCCACCACAGCCGTTCACTAGCCATCCACCACAGCATGCTGCCATAAGCTACGAGTTGTTTGGGTTTAATGATGCCTCTTGTCACCTAAGGTTGTCAACAGCACCATACATTCACATAAGATATGATCTATTCTAGATCATAAAATTGCATACAGCTGGCATTTTCTGCCACGATCTTTAGTTTTGTAATTTTTTACAGAGTTTTAGAAGGTGAATTAAAAAGAAATGAAGTACAGTTACAGTTTAGTAATGTGTCGGAAGCTCCCATGCCATGGACTATTGGAGAGGCTTGAAGGCCAGTCACCTGCCCACAGACTATGGGACTGGTCACAAGAGCCCTTAAAAGGGGCTATTGTCACTGTGGGAGGGGTATATGGGCCCTGGATGCTTACTGTGCTTCCCAGCCGGACTTGAGGAACTCTGTGGATCGCTTGGACTCGTTTTACACATCGAGAGTCTGACCAGGAGATACCTTGAATCACTTTGGAACTGTTCCTTAAACTGAGACTGTGCCTAAGTTCAGTCAATATTTAAGTAGGTATCGCTCTGTCACAAGTAATACAAATAATGTCCCTTATAAAAGGGTGTTAAATAAATGTTTGCCCTCCCAAACTGTTTCTGGGTACATTTACCCAGTGCCAGCAGAAGCAGGATACCAGACCTTTGATAGCAGAACTGTAGGCGCATATTTGGTTTTACCAGCTGAATCTGGGGCTGGTGGAGGGGATGTTTTGAGGGGATGGTGTAGATGCAAGTGTGGTCATGGATTGGGCTATTCTAGGGCACTTTAGATGGCCTACTAATAATCATTTATGCTCCTGAAAATCAAAAACAAGAAATAAAGACTCTGTATTTAATTTACACAGACTGATTTCTAAACACATTTATTCTAGTTTATAGCCACATTACTGGGAGTATTATTGCCGTGGAGCTCTGTTATGCACTCAGACACATTACTGGGAGTATTATTGCTGTGGAGCTCTGTCATACAGTCAGACACATTACTGGGAGTATTATTGCTGTGGAGCTCTATTATACACTCAGACACATTACTGGGAGTATTATTGCTGTGGAGCTCTGTTATACACTCAGACACATTACTGGGAGTATTATTGCTGTGGAGCTCTGTTATACACTCAGACACATTACTGGGAGTATTATTGCTGTGGAGCTCTGTTATACACTCAGACACATTACTGGGAGTATTATTGCTGTGGAGCTCTGTTATACACTCAGACACATTACTGGGAGTATTATTGCTGTGGAGCTCTGTTATACACTCAGACACATTACTGGGAGTATTATTGCTGTGGAGCTCTGTTATACACTCAGACACATTACTGGGAGTATTATTGCTGTGAGCTCTGTTATACACTCAGACACATTACTGGGAGTATTATTGCTGTGGAGCTCTGTTATACACTCAGACACATTACTGGGAGTATTATTGCTGTGGAGCTCTGTTATACACTCAGACACATTACTGGGAGTATTATTGCTGTGGAGCTCTGTTATACACTCAGACACATTACTGGGAGTATTATTGCTGTGGAGCTCTGTTATACACTCAGACACATTACTGGGAGTATTATTGCTGTGGAGCTCTGTTATACACTCAGACACATTACTGGGAGTATTATTGCTGTGGAGCTCTGTTATACACTCAGACACATTACTGGGAGTATTATTGCTGTGGAGCTCTGTTATGCACTCAGACACATTACTGGGAGTATTATTGCTGTGGAGCTCTGTTATACACTCAGACACATTACTGGGAGTATTATTGCTGTGGAGCTCTGTTATACACTCAGACACATTACTGGGAGTATTATTGCTGTGGAGCTCTGTTATACACTCAGACACATTACTGGGAGTATTATTGCTGTGGAGCTCTGTTATACACTCAGACACATTACTGGGAGTATTATTCCTGTGGAGCTCTGTTACACACTCAGACACATTACGGGGAGTATTATTGCTGTGGAGCTCTGTTATACACTCAGACACATTACTGGGAGTATTATTGCTGTGGAGCTCTGTTATACACTCAGACACATTACTGGGAGTATTATTGCTGTGGAGCTCTGTTATACACTCAGACACACCAACAATATGGAGCTCCTAGAAAGGAGGGATATTAGGAGAGAAAATAAATTTTTGTGCCTAAAATAGGGACTGTCCCTCTTAAAAAGGGACACTTGGGAGTATGTATTTGGATCCAGAGACAGAAGAAGACATGTATAGGAGGTTGGTGATCACTGGAGCTGGGTGCATAGCGCTGGAACCCTGTGCACTTAATCATTGAAATTGAAAACTTATTGGACGTGACCGTCTAACATTATATTAACCTCTCATTTCAGTCTTTTTCATTAATATCCTTTCATTTCTTACATATTCCTCTTCTATTGGAGCAGATCCTGTGCTATTTATAGGCTAGATAAATAAATACATAGATAATTTAATGCAACATATTTGTAAAAGGATCGAAAATAAAGGACTTTCCAACTCACAATTATTTATTTTGTCCTAAAATGTCATTTTCACTCTCTGCAGCCTAGTGATAGTCCTCAGAGTGTTACCACCGCTAATAAGTACTAACAATAAAATATATTATATTCCGGCTTTTTACAGTTTATCTGCAGTGCGTCGTGGCTTCCCATTAATATTCTGATTGTCTGGGCTATGAATGGCTGTTAGGTGTCGTCAGGTCTTCATTATTTAATTACAACCCCAAGGCCAGGGGAGTAAAAGCTATCAGATGCTCAAAGTAAACATTTACAGTCCTTCCTCATTCATGCATCATATCTGAAACTTTATATACAGCCTTCCTTCACACAGAATTCATTCCTGCACCTTTATATACAGCCTTCCTTCACACAGAATTAATTCCTGCTCATTTATATACAGCCCTGCTTTACACAGAATTAATTCCTGCTCCTTTATATACAGCCCTGCTTTACACAGAATTAATTCCTGCACCTTTATATACAGCCTTCCTTCACACAGAATTAATTCCTGCTCATTTATATACAGCCTTCCTTCACACAGAATTAATTCCTGCTCATTTATATACAGCCCTGCTTTACACAGAATTAATTCCTACACATTTATATACAGCCTTCCTTCACACAGAATTAATTCCTGCTCATTTATATACAGCCCTGCTTTACACAGAATTAATTCCTGCACCTTTATATACAGCCCTGCTTTACACAGAATTAATTCCTATGCATTTATATACAGCCTTCCTTCACTCAGAATTCATTCCTGCACTTTTATATACAGCCCTGATTCACCTATAATACATTACTGCACCTTTATATACAACCCTGCCTTACACAGCATTCATTCCTGCACCTTTATATACAACCATGCTTCACACAGAATACACTCCTGCACATTTATATACAGCCTTGCTTCGTTCATAATACATTCCTGCACTTTTATATACAGCCATGCTTCACACCTGATTCATTCATGCACCTTTATATACAGCCCTGCTTCACACAGAATACATTCTTGCACTTTTATATGCAGACCTGCTTTACACACAATTCTGTTCTGCTCATATGTATTTGTACAGCCTTTCATGCATGATTCATTCCTTCTGCAGTGCATCTTCATCCAGCCTTCTTCCCTTCACATTCATACATGGCCTCATTCATGCACATTTATATGCAACCTTCTCTCATACACATAGTTTATACAGCCCTGCTTCACACAGCCTTCATTCCTGCATCATTATTAACAGTCCTGCTTTACAAAGCCTTCTTCATTCATGTAACTTTATATACGTATGCATTATATTTTCAGAGTCCAGACTCACCCAATCTCTATTCCTGCCTCACAGGTACTTTGTTTAGCCTCTTATGATTGCTTATTATTATTTAAATTAATTATTTTGACCTGCCACAACATCCATTTCTGATACCCATCACATCCATCATTCCTGATTCTTGATCTCCCTCACAGCCTTTATTCCTGATTCTTGGTCCCTCTCACAGCCTCCATTCCTTCTACTTGATAGCCCTTGCAGCCTCCACTCCTGATATATGAGATCTAACACAGCCTCCCCCACAGTCTTAAAGGGTTACTCCAACCACCATGACCAACTGGCAACATAACAGGGCGAACGGGGGAGAAGAGCAAGAAGACTGTTCCCTCGCGGCCACCTCCATTCTGCACAGCCACCCTCCTTCGGGGAGGTGCTAAGATGGCCTGACGGCCAGCACTTGGCCCTCCATGACACAAGGCTAACAATGCATTTGTTAAAGTTGGAAGGGGAGGGCATCCAAGCGGGCATTGGAGTGCAGTTTTTTTTGCCGTCCCTCTGGAAAGTGCCGCCCAGGGCAAATGCCTTGTTAGCCTCGTGATAGATACAGCATTGAGATAAAATGGCCTGGGTGCCTATAGTGGCCATTTGTGCTTCTTGATATCTCTTGTTGTCTTCATTTTGTCTGTTTTAAGCTTTCACAATCTGAGATGGGCAGATAAAGCTCCGACCTTGTTTTAAAATAATGCATTCTGGGTACAAGGTGTATGGCGGAGGCAAACAGGGGGGTAGCAACACGTGGCTCCTTACCCAGACATTACACTCTTCCTGGCAGCTTTTGTTCGCCAGAATAGGAATGCATTGTATCCGCTGCAGCGCGGCCTTGATGGAGAACTAGATGAGCTGCTCATAGAGAGAAAGGAGGACAAGGCTCAGCATCCCATCTGCTCAAAGAGCGGAGACTGTAAGTCACTATGGGATATATTCACTATACCGGGAATATTACAAAATTGACAAGACAATCTGATTTTTAAGAAAAAATATCTGAGCTTCATAAATTGCTCAGTTAGAGATCTTTTGCAGTTTAGCTATTTTGGCTTAGTAAGTGCAATTTCCTTGCCATTTATTTACAATCTCAAGTTAGTAAATACATTTCTGTGTTTAACCCTCTGAATAATGGATGCCTTAAAGGACCACTATAGGCACCCAGACCACTTCAGCTTAATGAGGTGGTCTGGGTGCCTGGTCCATCTAGGGTTAACCCTTTTTTCTACAGTGAGAAGACGCCAGCGTCCATAGGAAAGCATTGTGAATGCTTTCCTATGGAATGGCTGAATGTGCGCGCAGCTCCTGCCGCGCATGCGCATTCAGCCGAAGAGGAGGAGAAGAGGGAGGAGAGGAGGAGGAGAGCTCCCCACCGGCGCTGGAGAAAGAGGTAAGTTTAACCCCTTACTCTCCATCCATCCCGGCGGGAGGGGGACCCTTAGGGTGGGGGCACCCTCAGGGCACTATAGTGCCAGGAAAACAAGTATGTTTTCCTGGCACTGTAGTGGTCCTTTAAATGGACACTGTAGGCACTATATCCATTTCCTCTCATTGAAGTGATTATAGTGCCTTGAGTCCCCTGGCATCGTCCCTCCATTCAGTATTAAACCATTTTGAGCAGTTTTAAATAAGGGTCCCATGCCACCCACAGCTCAGCCCCCATTAGAGGTATGGCTAAGGCAGAGATTACATACTTTCTCTAGCCATACCGATTCATACCTGCAGTGGGCACTGTCATAGGCTGAAACAGGTCAGCTGACACTATCAGCCCATCACTATCTCTAATTGCTGCTCAGACTGATGCTTCCTCATTAGCCCAAGTAACACAGAGGGTATAGGCTGCTGGGACTCTCATTTAGCATTAAAACATTACAAACAGTTTGTAAACCTGAATGGAAGGATGGTACCTATTGGAGCCAGACACTATAACCACTTTAACTAGATGATGCAGTTACAGTATCTACAGTTTAACAATAAAATCTTTCTCACCTGAACCAGTGTCCTATTAGAGCGCAGCCTGTCTCACAGACGTGCAGTTGCACTTATTAAACTACATGTATCTCTTTTAGAATGTTGTCTCTCTACTATAATCAAGTCTCAATGGAAAAGAGATTCCATTACTGGAGGGCAGTCCCTCCCATTGACGGGTAGTCTTATGGGAGGGCGTCTCTCCATTTAAAGAGTAGTTTCTCCATTTGGATGGTCACTCTTCCATTTAAGGGGAGTCTCACTCGTTGAATTGCAATATCACCCATTGAAGCTATGTCTCTACCATTTAAGATCTAAAGCCAGCATTGGATGAAAAGCCTTATCCACTAAAGGGCAGTCTCACCATTGAAGCACTGTCTAAACGATTAGAGGGCAATTTATTTTTGGACTGTAGTATCACTCATTTGAATACAAAATCACTGCAGTCATTTTTGAACAGCAGGGCCCTTGAAAATTAGGTGCAGTCTGTTAGAGGCTGTCTCTTTCAATGCAGTAAAGTCTAACTAATTTAAGGATAATCTCTTACACCATAGGACAGTCTATCATTGGAAGATATTTAAACCCATTGTGTGACCGTCTCTTTCATCAGAATGTAGTTACTAATTGAGGGCAGTTTCCCATTGAGCATCATCTGTATTACTGGAGAGAACAGTCTCTCTTACTAGTGGGCAATCTCTTGTATTACAATAGAATGTCACTCAAAGGAGCAGTCTTATGTTATTTGAAAGTATTCTAACATCCTTTATTGTACTTAAAAGCTGTGTTCCTTGGTTGCTTTGTACATTACAAATGAGATATTTAGGACTGTGATACACACCATACAGAAAGCCCATAGTTTAATGTTCAGTGTGATAAACACAAAAGAGCTTTTTTGTTAATTATCACAATGATACAGAGTGGGTTTATTGACCTGTGAAATCTCCATCTTTTGTCTTCTTTTAACAATGAATCTGTCATTGTTTTACGAATCCCCAGCCATTCACCCTGTCTCTAACTATAAATATCTGCTTTATCTTATCTCTAACAGTCTGTCACCCTCCAACCAAACCGAGTTCTGTCCTGCTAACTCAGCACCCCATCTGCTCACTAGAGGTAGGTGATCCCGTGCAGAGCGGACTGACCTGGCTTTTCGCTAGAATTCCAATAAATTCCAGATTAGCAAAAATCAGCAGAAATCTGCGGATTTTTCCTAAATGTGTGATTCTGCTGTTTATTAAAGGCAACTCCAGTGAAGATTAGGTGGTTTAACAACAAATTTGGGCTGATAGCATCTTCCTACAGAGCTTAACCATTTATCGTTACCAATTTCAATGGAATTTACCCAAATTGAGGAAAAACAGAATGTTGGTACTATATAAATGCAGATAATATTAATAATAATAAGAGGACAAGAACATAAATTGTAAAACAAAAGTGTGCGTGAAACCAGCTGTCTCATTTTAGATAGAATAGTAGGTTTTGTACATTTATCTGATGGAGATCCTTTGAAAACGAGTTTCCTCTTGTCGGTAAAGCAGCATGGAGTCATGATAAATTATCATTAATACTTTCTCCTATAATCTCTTATTGATCAGAGGTCAATGCCTTGACCTGTGTGTGAATCCTGAGAACTCCAGCAAGCCAAGTGGCACCAGTAGGGACTGTTACCGACAGGCTAAAAGGTCACAACCAAAAGCCGATTGTAGTTAGCGTTCCGGTGCAACCATTACTTTGTACTAGTAGATTATCTCAAAAATGATTCATCAATGCCATACAACTTTCTTGGCTTTTAACAGAATACAATTAAAATTCGGGCACCTGCCTATAAAATGGAAGATGTTTATCATTTTTGTTTTATGATAGCCTTTATTTAACTTTATTTGCACTAGATTACCAGAAAATTCTGAAAAAATAAATCTCTATAGTCGCAGTTCCATTATTTACTTCCAGTGGAATCTGAAATGGCTACAGTGTAAATTCATGTAAATGCGGAAACTAGGTTGCTAGATTTAGTGATTGATAAAAATCTGGATTTCTGCCTTTGAATGCCCCTAGATTGTCTCATATTGTTTGTGTTGTGCAGCTAAATTACATTCTGACTTTATTGAATAACCTTGTTGAAATCACAATGTTGTCCCAGCCATAAACAATTCTCTTCCTGTACCCAAAAGCAAATCCCAAGTCCTAAGGTTTAATCATTTCTGAAATAAGTTGTCTGTGTCAAAACTAAACCACATGTCCATGGATCTTTAAATAAGGTATGTTTCCAACTTCTAACACAAATCCAATCCTCCATTTTCCTTTAACTTTGCAAAAGTGACTACACATTTAAAGGAACACTTTAGGGTCAGAATTACAAAGTGTATTCCTGACTCTATAGTGTTAAAATCACCATTTAGGTGGCTTGCCCCCCTAAGAGGTTAGAAAACGTACCTTATTTCAAGCTCCGAGCTGGCCTGCCGGCACTGGCCCTGAACCCGATCCGCCTCCTTGGATGACATCATCAGAACTGATGATCTCAGCCAACCCATTGTTTTCCAATAAGAAAAAAAAAATTGGAGTGGCTGAGATCAGCAAGGAGGCAGAGCACGGGTGAGGCCAAACGCCGGCTTGGCCAATCAGCATCTCCTCATAGAGATGCATTAAATCAATGCATCTCTATGGGGAAAGTTCAGAGTCTTCATGAACGGCTGTGCTGCACACTGTGCCAGGAAGCACCACCAGTGGCCATCTGTGTGGCCATGAGTGATCACTGGAGGTGTCCCTAGGCTGTAATGTAAACACTGCCTTCTCTCTGAAAAAGGCACTGTTTATAACAAAAATCTGCAGGGAATGATTATACACTCCAGAGCAACTACAATAAGCTGTTGTTGTTCTGGTAAATATAGTGTCCCTATAAGTCATTTATTTGGGAAGTAAATGAGCAGTAGGTGTTAAAGGACCACTATAGTGCCAGGAAAACATACTCGTTTTCCTGGCACTATAGTGCCCTGAGGGTGCCCCCACCCTCAGGGTCCCCCTCCCGCCCGGCTCTGGAAGGGGGAAAGGGGTTAAAACTTACCTTTTTCCAGCGCTGGGCGGGGAGCTCTCCTCCTCCGATCCTCCTCCTGGGCTGAATGCGCACGCGCGGCAAGAGCTGCGCGCGCATTCAGCCGGTCACATAGGAAAGCATTCATAATGCTTTCCTATGGACGCTGGCGTGCTCTCACTGTGAAAATCACAGTGAGAAGCACGCAAGCGCCTCTAGTGGCTGTCAATGAGACAGCCACTAGAGGATTAGGGGGAAGGCTTAACCCATTCATAAACATAGCAGTTTCTCTGAAACTGCTATGTTTATGAAAAAATGGGTTAACCCTAGAAGGACCTGGCACACAGACCACTAAGCTGAAGTGGTCTGGGTGCCTATAGTGGTCCTTTAATTATAATGCAATACCAAAGTAAATTTGGTAAGGTGAAGACAGAAAAACAAAGAATGGCCCAATAAATATGTGTGCATTTGATAAACAATACATAAAGTGGATCAATACGATCCTAATGAAATACTGATTAAGACTGCGTTGGAATTTCATGGAAATTGCAAAGCACTCCAAAGATATCACAAGACAAAGTAGGGACTACGTTGTCAAATCCTAGCAGCCGTCACAAATGACGCCTGTGGGATTCAAGTTTTGTCTATAGATGATTTGTCTATAGAGGACCTCAGTGTTCTACTCCTGTGCATGCGCGAGAGTGCAGCACGGACATGGCTCCTGGCAACTAAAGCGCCAGGAGCCAAAGAGGACCAGATGGCGGCTACTGAAAGGGACAGCCTGAGGTAAGTACACATCGTGTCCCCTACACCTGCGGCCACTGGACCCAGACCGGACTGTCCATTTTGGGGTTTTTTTGCGAAATATGCACAGCCTCCTGTGTTTCAGTGAACTAAAAACACCAAATTGGGTCTATTACTCCGTAAGACTAATGTCACTGATTGCTGCCCTTTGTTCTAATCTCTTGAATACTGCTTGTTCCACAAGAATGGTTTACTGGCTGCGTCACACAATTCAAAGACATTTATTCCAAGACTTCTTCACATCGTGCACTTTGGGGCCACATGACCTTTAAAGAGGATCTATGGCACACCAACACTTTCAAGCCTACTCACAAACGTGTATTCTAGCTCTAGAACAAATCCTTAGCCTCCATCTTCTGCTACACAGTGCATTTAGTCTTTAGCAAGCATAAGCCTAGAACGTGGTCCGTGTGGATCATCAATGACTTTAGAAATGTGTCCTGCATTCTTCAAGCAGGTGAAGAAATTTCCACTGTATCTGCAGCAAAGTACCAACTTTCCGAATACAAACAGTGGGCGCCCTATTTACCTATAGCAGTGAATGCAACTCCCACCCAGCATGCAGACTTGCGCTCTCCACTGTGTCAGTAACACTGTACACAACCTTCTCATCACATGTCCAAACTCTCTTTACTAACACAGTAGCAAACCTGCACTGTATCTAAAACAATGCAACATACCTTCTCTAAAAATGAATCATCCCTCTATAATAGCGTCCTTTATAGGCTGTGTCTATAACAATGTATCCAGCATCTCTCATGTGCACATAGTGAGCTTTCACCATACATTTAGCAATCTCTGTATAACAGTGGTGAGACTTTCAAAAATATATATCTCATAACACCACATCTAACCTCACTCCAGAATATCTATAACAACATATCTAAACTCTCCCACTATATCCACAACACATCTAACCTTCTTCTACTGGCCCCATAACAATATATCTAACATTCCGCGGAACGTCGGAGTGGGTGGAGCGACGACCTAGCGCCAAAGAACATCGGCGCTGGGATAAGATAGGTAAATAAAGTTTTTTTTAACCCTTTATTACCGGAGGGGGAAGGAGGGTAGGAGGCAGGGGGAGCGATAGTGTCAGGAATATAGCTTTGTATTCCTGGCACTTTAGTACCCATTTATAGAGACACTATACGCACCAAAACAACTTTAACTTAATTAAGTGGTCATGGTTTATATATATCTAATGTTTAAACTTCCGTTACTGCACAGTCTGTTTAATTTAGAATTCATGTTTGCCCTGCTCAGTTAATTGCCTTCTAGACCCTATAGGAACCTCACGTGTGTGATTAAAGTTCAATTTACAGAGCAGGAGATAAACTTTTAAAGTAAACATACTGCTCTGATAAATCTATTTTTTTTCCATGCAGACAGTGTGAGTCACAGTCAGGGGATGTGTGGCTAGGGCTGCATAAATAGAAACAAAAGGGATTTAACTCCTAAATGTAAGAGAATTGAGCAGTGAGACTTCGGAGGCATGATCTATACACCAAAACTGCTTAATTAACCTAAAGTTGTTTTGGTGGTTAAAGTATCCCTTTAAATCAAAATACACGTTTCTAATTTATCTTCTTTTGCCCAAAATGTGAAATTCATTGTTCATTTTTTGTCAGTTCGCAGTTTAGTAGATACACCCTAGACCTAATGTGTTTACTAAACTACCAATCGTAGCGCATTATCATTCATTTAGGCAACCAGAGCTAGTCTGGAAATTTTTCCAACAAGAGCTCAAAGCGTGACTATTTGAGTCAATTTTTTTAATTAATAAAACAATAAAAATGTCAAAATTCTGGTTAAAATAATGAAGCTGTGAATTTATTATATATATATATTATACTAAACATATCAAGGCTGGTAAAATAGCTGAAATCATATCTTTTTTTATTTTAACTAAATTTTGTGTGATTAGGTTATCATTTAACTACAAATCACCATTTAGTAAATAAGCCTCAATACACGTAATCGGCCAAAAACAAATGCAACACATTTTTGTTTAGAACAAGTCCCATTTACTGCTCTTTATCTTCAATTTTATTTCATTTTAAATTCTTACTTAAATCCATCATCTGAAATTAAGGTATTTTGAGTTTTAATACACAGACCTTACCATTAATTTAGCAATCAAATTAATTAAATAATCTTTTTGAAAAATTGAAGAAATTCAATTTCTTAAGGAATTTTTATTTTGTTGTCTAACAAAGGAGAGACAGATTGTACAAAGAGATATGGTAAGAATTTTTTCTGCGTGTTCATAAAAGTAGAAAATATATATATAAATACATTGTGATTTCTAAACTGTAAGGGTAATTATATATTTTTTTCCCCCAATGATAAAAAAAATAAAATAATATTTTCTCAGTCTAATGCCTGATGAATAATATTCGGTTGTTTTGGAGAGCAGGGAGAATTGCTGTAACCCCGCTCTGTGTGACGTCTTCTCGTTGTGATATTTCCGTCCTGTTTTTTTTGTTGTATTTTTTTGGTTAGTTATAAATTTCATTATTCATTCTTTATGTGACTGAACCAAGATCTGGATCATTAAATATCATTCTCCCGGGAATTCTAATGGGGTGAAAAATAGCTTTAAATGAAGTTAATAACTCCCATCTCTGTGTCCTCTCAGAGATCGTGCCACTCACGTCATTACAGTGGATGGAGCGGAGAGGAGGGGTAGCAATATATTAGCGAGACGTGTTATCTCTTCTACGGGCATTTAAACCATTATATTCAGTCGTCAGCTCCGCCTTCTGTGATGGAAATTTGCGTTTTTGTTTGATACATTTAAAGGTTCCGCACTTTTTTTTTTTGTCAAACGTAACATTTGTTTGTCTTTTGGTGCATACATGTGCAAAAAGCACTAAAAGATGTAACTGACGTATGAAATTAATTCCGCACTGGGTGATCCAGTTGCACTGATGATGCAATTGTGATCTGTGGAATTCAAAACTGTGGCAGCATCAAACAACCTAAGGGGTTAAAAAAAACTGCTGGATGGGGTTTTAACCCTTTTGGTGCAGAAGGCTAAAGCACAGCTTTCCTTTTCTCCGGTACAATTCTCTTACACAATTACATCCTACAAAGAAAGGGTTAGCTTAGAGCAGCACATTTTGCTTTGGAACCCAGTGTGGCACTCAAATGGTTAATATATGGCGCCGTCCCAATATTGTAACCATAATATGCAGCTTTGTCTACAAGTTCCTGTGTATGTGAGAGAACTATATGTTCTTTATTATTATATGAATAGGGGGTTTAATAACCAGACAGTGAATTACTGGGAACTGAACACAAAATTATAGCCAAGCTGTGACTATAATTGAGTTGGATATTTGTTTACATATTAGCAATTTTTACAATTCTGTTTTCCATGTGTTAAAGTGCATTGATTAGCGAATAATTCACGGTGTGTATCATACGGATCATTCTGTATGGTTACGACGTGAAATGTATTTGTATGGAGGGAAAAAAATCTGCACGTCTGTGTGCTACAGAACCTTGCGTATCGTGTTATGAGAGCTTTGGTGCAAGTCTGCATACTGCGCTGCTGCAGATGTTGGCATTCATGAGACAGAAATGAGAACAGAAAGACACACAAACAGTTTTTACCTCTGGGGCAAGAATGGAGGGCAATCCTCGGGTCCTTGTGGCTCTTGATCCGAGACGCTGGAGATTTTGTAGACTGTGTCTTCTTGAAGTAGGTTTTGTGGTACCTTAAACGAAGATGAATTTGGGGGTACTGAAACCTCCTTAGAATAAAGTTTAGGGCAATAATTGAGGGTAGCTTAGGTCATATATGCCTTTGGTTGCCTGCTGAATGTATGGGGGCTATGGGCTGCAGATTTTGGGTTGTGTTGGTGGCTTTGAAGACCTTTCGTTCTTGGATTTGGGGTTTCAATAGAGTTTGGGGATTTGCCTTGGGTAAGGGATGGGACCCCGTACCGCTGTGTGCGTTAAGGGAGTTGTAAAGTTATGGTAGCTCCTCTCAGACTCTCAGATGCCTCCAGGTTCTCTCCAGGTTCTCCTGCCTCTGGTATGAGAATTTCAGACTTCACACTACTACTTATGTGAAGGGAGGTCCATAGGGAGGTGCTCTGTCTCCTGCCCCTTCTTCAGGGAAGTTTGTCCTCATCAGGGGGAATCTCACTAACTATGAACACTGAACACCATCCAGTATTGAGTCTCTTACTAACTAGAACCTGATTAGTGCTCAAAACAAAAATGTTTAAACGACTGAGACGCAGGAGCTGACACTCCAGATACGTCTAGAATCACAATTCTGCAGCTTTTCCCTAGTTACTGTTTTCCATCACTAAGTGTGTGTTTGCAGGAGATGGGAGGTGAAGGTTTGGGGCAGAGCTATGCATGGAGTTAAAGTGATAGTGTGTGCATTTAAGCAATTTCAGCTATTCTTTGCTCTCCATCTATGTGTTTATCTAACTGTGTTTTTAATTCCTTCCTCCTCCTCTACATTTTTTTCTGTGCAATTTTTCTGTCTCTGTGCCACAGTCTCTCATGCTATGACTGTCTCTAACTGAGTTGCAATATCTCCTGCTATGCCCGTCTCTCTCTGTATCACTGACTCTCCCCTTTTGTAGACTCTTTACACAAGTCTCTTATGCTGTGTCTGTCTCTCAGGTTCTGTCTGTCCCTTGCTGTCGCCTACTGTCCATGTGTTGCAGTCTCTCCTCTTAAGTCAGACTTTCATGTTATGTCTGTCTCTCCATGTGATGCTGTCTTTTCATTGTTTACAGTGTTAAGTCTGTCTCTCCTGTTATGCCTGTCTCTTCTGTTATGCCTGTCTCTCCTGTTATGCCTGTCTCTCCTGTTATGTCTGTCTCTTATGTTGTGTCTGTCTCTTATGTTGTGTCTGTCTCTCCTGTTATGTCTGTCTCTCCTGTTATGTCTACCTCAGTGTTGCAGTCTGTCCTGCTGTGATTGTTTCTCGTATGACATATGAACGTGTTTCCAGATTAATTGCACATTAAATGATATACAATGATACTTATATCTGAATGAATCGCTCCTCACGTTCGTTCGCTCTTTTTTCTCTCTCACTTTCTTTCCTCTCTCTGTCTCTATTTCTCTTTCTTTATTTTTCTCTCTCTTTTCTCTCTCTCACCTTCTTTCATCTCTCTGTCTCTATTTCTCTTTCTTTATTTCTCTCTCTGTCTCTATGTCTCTTCTCCCTCTCTCTTGCTCACTTTCTCGTTTGCTCACTTTGTCCCTCTCTCTTTCAATCTCTCTCTCTTTCTTGTCTTCTTTACTCTCTCTCTTCCCCCTCTCTCTCTGTCTCTCTTCGCCCTCTCTCACTTTCTTTCTCTCTCTCATTTGCTCTCTTTCTCCCTTTCTATTTTCCCCTCATTCTCTCTTTCTATTTCTTTCTCTCTCACTCTCTCATTTGCTCTCTTTCTTCCTCTCTATATTTCTCTCTCTTTCTTTATCTCTCTCCATCTCTCTCTCTCTTTCTTTATTTCTCTCTCTGTCTCTTTTTCTCTCTCTCTCTTTCTTTATTTCTCTCTCCATCTCTGTCTCTCTTTCTCTCTCGCTCTCTCTCTTTCATTCTTTTCTCTCTCTCTCTCATTTGCTCTCTTTCTCCCCTCTCTCTCTCTCTCTCTCTCTCTCTCTCTTTCTCGTTTTCTTTTATCTCTCTCTTGCTATCTCTCTCCCTTTCTCATTCTCTCTCTTTCTTTCTTTCTTTCTTTCTTTCTTTCTATTTCTCCCTCTTTCTTTCTCTTTCTCCCTCTTGCTTTCTTGCTTACATTTTCTCTTCCTTCCTCTCTGTCTTTTTTGTCTTTTTCATTTAACCTTTTCTTTTTTTGTTATTTCTCCTATTTTTTCTCTTTCCTTCTTTTTCTCTCATCCTTTTTTCTCCCTTTCTATCTTTGATTTTTTTTTCTTTCACCTCTCATTTTTATATATATATATTTTTTACCTGCACTTTTCCTCAATAAACCTATTCTTTTCTCTGCTCGTTATTAAATGGCTTGGTCCTGTTGAATGATGGCTCTTATATATATATATGAACAATTCTCAGCTTTGTGTATCCAGCGCTCCTAGGCTCCTGTCCCAAATCTGATAGATTGTGAAGTTGAAGAGGAAGTAATATAACCTTCTGTCTGAGATACTGCTGAGGGGGCGCGGGGCTCTTGTCACTATCTTGTCCCTTATTCTTGCAATTCTCTCTCTGGCTTCCTCTGATACAGCTATTGAAAGCTGCATTGGAAATCACAAAGAGATCAGGATGTAAAGATCTTTTCGATTTACAAGGTAACAGCTGAGAGAGGGCTGGTGGACGGGTGGGGGGAGTATAGGGTCACAAGCAGTGGGTGGAGAAGAAACAGCGAGAGAGGAGATGGAGAGGAAGAACAACTGCAAACTAGAAGTCTAAAGGGATGAGTGAGAGGAACGAACGTAAGGCATGATGGAGAGACAATGTGACAAAGGAGACGAGGGCTAGAACAAGGCCAGCAGGGAGGGATAGTGAGTGGCTCCCAAAATATCACATTATTCTATTTTTATCAGAATCCACGTACTTGGACTAAATAAGTTCTACCAGGGTCACAGTAGGAGTGAGTATGGGCTGTGAGTAAAACTGTGCAAAGTCTGAGTATGAGTCTGCATTTGTGAGTGCGACCTGTTGATTGCGATACAGTTTTTTTCCCCCCCTTCAAATAAGGAAGTGACGAGGGGTTTGATGGACCCTCCATACTCTTGCCTTGTATCCTGATATGCGCCACTGTCACTGCTGTGTGCGTGGGACTCTGATGTGGCAATTTGTCACTTGAACAATTTTGCTGTCAGGAGAAGGTGACATGCAATGAGGTCCCCTGGGTACCGTGATCGCTCCCACGAGGATGAGGGTGGGAGGCACTTTTGTAATGTGATACTTTCAAATGTGTGCGGGAGACAACAGAGAGACAGCCTTTCCCCAGTCAGGTCCTAAATATAGACGTTTAAGACCTAGACTATACCTTGTTTGTTCGTACTGTATAACACCTAGAACATACTTCTATTATCATCACTTAAGTTGCTTGCAGCATGTCTTCTATAAATGTGCTGCAGTACGCCTAGAACACTTAATCTCTGATTTTGCTACATGACACCTAGAACATATCTGATTTTTCTATAGAACACACAGAACATATCCTCTCCGATTGGTCTAGTAGAAACCTCCAGTGTTTTGACCTAAAGCAATTCTCCACCAACCTCCAAACATCACTTTCCCTAGTTCTGGTACCTCCTTTTACAACTCCACCCTCTCTTCTAAACTGGATATTAAGGCACCTCCTATATTTAAACGTTGCAAGAGACCCCAGCTACAACCCTGACACACTGAGCTGACCCCTTAACTCCAAAACGCTGCTGTAGAAAGTCTCATTTTGTGTCTGACTTCCTCCGGACTATAAATTTATGCTACGCTTTTACAGTCAGTCAGTCTCTTTACTCTGCAAAAGAAAACTACTTTAACACTCTGATAGCCACACTCTCTGGCGTACCATACAGACGGCCAGACGTTCTCAACGTACCATACAGACGGCCAGACGTGGTCGCCCCACAAGTGCCAAACAGGGGATTTAAACATGGGTCCTTTGCTGTCCTGGGCCTGCTATCTGCTTGAGCAACAGCAGTTCTGATTCTTTTGCCATATTGTAGGAAACCTAGAACATAACCACTATTGCCATATTGTAGGATACCTAGAACATAACCACTATAGCCATATTGTAAGACACCTAGAACACAGCCACTATAATAATGTGGAATGTCTAATCTAGACCATATGCACTATAGCCATAAAACCTTACTAATGTAGCCATATTACAGGACACCTATAGGAAACCTACTATAATTATACTAATGGACACCTTGAACATACAAACTTTAATCATACAACAGGACACCTAGCACACCCTCACTATAAACATAGTATATGACACCTAGAACATACTCTGTTTAATCATACTATAGGATATCTAAAGCCATAAGTATATGTAAAACATATCCACTGTACTCAGGACATAAAGTATAATTTAGAATACCTAAAATATATAAGACACCTAGAAAATACCCTCAATGATCAAACTATAGGACACTTCAAACATCATTCTGCCTTACAGATTTATGTATACTTTATAGAACACCTGTTATTTTGTGTTGTTGTTGTTTGCTATCCATTAAGGGTTAATTCTGGCTCAGTGACTCCCACACAGCCCTAAACTTTATCTCATTAGTGTCGCTTAGAGACCAAAGCGTTGGCTGAATGACTGTGGAGTCAATGAGAGCCCTACCCGTATCACCCCTTTTGCTACACCTCCCCCACTGGCCCCCCCACGTTATGCCATGGAGACGCCAGGTAACGTGTGACAAGTGAAGTGTGCCTGTAATCAAGTTATACTCGCAAGGACTGCGTTACTATTAACGTGGATGAGTCAGACTGTCTAATACCTCCTAAAGTAATTCCACCAAAAATAAAAGTAACAAAACGCAACAAAGCTAGAGAACAGTTTATGGAATAATAGACATATCTATAGTATGGGAAATGTGGCATTATAAGAGAAGCTATATGGGGGGATTATATGGGGTCATAGGGGGCATTATTATTATACATTTTGGGCAGAATAGTAGGAAGTACAGTGAGTTATGTGAAGTCATTAGAAATATGTATACTTATGGTGTGTTCTCAGTGTAGTGTAGTATGACCAGATATGGGATGATCTAGGTTTTTTTTTTTTTTAGTATGACCTGATATGGGGTGCTCTAAGTTTATTGCATGATCATGTATGTAATACTCTAGGTGTAGTATGACAAGGTTAGTCATGTCTAGCTGTATTATAGGGATCATCCATTGGGTAGTATGATCAGGTACGGGGTATGTAGGTCTAGTGTAGTATGATCAAATATGTATCTAGGTATTATGACCAGGTATGTGGTTTTCTAGGTATATTGTATTATGATCCGGTGTGTGATGTTCCAGGTGTATTGTATAGGATTGGTATGGGATGTTGTAGGTGTACCCAGGGTGTTCTATAGAGAGCCTTTAGAGAATTAACATGGAAAATCGCAATTTTAAGGCCAGCACATTAGCTATTTCTAGCAGTTTGGCTATAATTATAATGACCTTTTCATATGGTTTCTATAATCT